GAGGGCATAACTAAACCAAAACATAACTCAATTTTTCAACTTTTTATTTTTGCCATAAAAATACACTTTTCTAGACGGGCTTTGTCCCAAGAATCTAGTGGTGCCATTTGTTTTCACATGCGATGTTCAGAAGTGCCTCTAATTCACGAAAATGTTTATGACGTCACCATGCCCTATGCATGTTGGAGCTATTTTCTACAATTTGGGGGTCAAAAATCAAGATAGAAAGTTGAAATTTGGGGCATCTAATTTTCTAATAGAGCTCTACAACATATATTCCGGTTTTTCGGAAATTCCCAAAATTTGGATTTTATTAGCTGTTTTCCAAAAAATATAGTTTTTTGAATTTTAGGGGTGAAAAATGCATTTTATGGAAAATCGGAGATAGCCATTTTAAAGAACTCGTTGATTTGCGTCTTTTCATGTCCTTATTTGCAATTGCTTTAAACCCTGATTTTTGGCGTTTTTAAACATTTACCACTTTTTGACTAAAAACGCCATGTAGTTACATCACTAAAATCGATATATCTCAAAAATGTTTGAAATTTGTATCTTAAAAATTGCACAGGAGACGTCAAATTGATGGGGAAGAAGGTATGCCAAGTTTCAAGTAGATAGCGAAAGTGGTTCATGAGTTATTCAAGAAAAACGGAGGGGGTTGCATTGAGAACCCTGATGCACATCGCGCTACAGTACGGCATTGTTCTGATATTAATCCCTGGGAAGCGACAGCGATTTCGCTATGATTCAGTTTTTACCCGGAGCTCTACTTAGGGGTGGACATTTTGCAGATTGGCTCTGTCGAAGTCTGTTTTGTCGACAGTTGCCAGGCAGGCAGCGCGCTGAGAAAGTGCTCCCTGGTCACCTCTCGACGGGACGTTCCCGAGTGGCATTGATCGGAACGTGCTGATTGGAAATGGCGGCCCGGATATTGGTCATTAATAGGAGTGATGCGAACGGAACATCAGAGGTACTTGGACTATGCTGGTCACGAAATTATGCTATTTCATTAGCATATGATCCATGCCAGTGAATTACTTGATTTTCATTGGATTTTCAAAACAGTTTCTTTTTAGGTCTTGTCCAGTCTCGTCCATTTTGAGATATCATTGATAACGGTTTCTTTGAAGCTCCGCAAATTGTTGGCGTATTCACGAAGAGCAAGCATCAAACCTCTATCAAGTCTAAAAGGTTATCACAACATAACTTCGCCCAAACCAGTAAAGATTTGATATAGTGACCACATTTTCTAAAGATGGGTGAATTCTTCCTTCACGATTACACTCACGTTCAGGATGATGAGTTTGCCAAAGAGTTGATGGGAAAGTTTGACAAATTCGATTGTCGCTTCAAGGCAATACATCCAGAAAAGCCGGTGTCAATGGACCCTGAGGTTACCTACTTTGGCAACCGAAAGAAAAAGCAAGACGTTTTGTAAGTATGAACACATCTAATGCCCATTTGATTGCCTCGCACGTGTGATGGTCACTGATAGGTACCGTTCACTCTGTTCGAAGGAACCAATAAGTCATTCCGCGGTATGACGATTGTTACACTTTCAGGGTCCCGCTTTTTTGGAAAAGCATTGCGAATTGGTCATGCTTATTGCTTATCATCATATAACCGGCGGTTTAACGTTTACACTTTATCGTTCATTGATGAGCGCGTGATTATGGCAAAGGTGACCATCCCCCACTGCCGGCAGATGTCAGTACGACCAGGTGTACCGGCAGAAGAGCACGTGGAACCAGCGACTGCATAGAGAGGACGCGCAGTACAAACTGGCTGCCGTTCACATGTGGCGAGAGGAGGCCGACCGGACGGTGCCCGCACTGGGCAGCAGTCTGTACGGCCACCGGCCGGCCATCGACGCCAAAAAGACCACCAACAGTCAGCGCATCCACGTAGTGGAGCAGGAGTTCCGCCGACCGCGCAACGTCTTCCCCGGCGACGGACTGTAGAGGAGAGATGTTGCACGGGCGAACGGTGGACGCCTCGATGGCAAGCGGATGTAATCGAACAGGTGTAACGAAATGGGTGTAGCGAGACGGGTGTAACGAAACGCTTGTAATAGAACAGCTGAAACGGGCCGAGTGTAACATCCTGATTGTAAAGAAACTGGTGTCGTGTAACGGATGTAACAGACAATAGGTGTGATAGAATAGCTGAAACGGACCGGATGTAACGGATCGCAGTGTGTAATAGGTTAATGGCAGAAACCGATGCCCAAGCACCTATTATGCATTTCAGACCCTGTGGAACAGTCCTTTTCCGCTTTTTCTCGTTGTATATGCGTTTGATTTTAACCAAACTTTGGTAATGGCAGTTTGAGATCCCTACCTAATTTTTATCAATATGGTCTATTAACAAAAAATGAAAAATAAAGGCACTTGTCATTGATTGACAATGTTAAGGTCATCAGAGCCCTGCTTAGAGGCTGACACAGGCTGGGCGCTGTCTCCCCTCTGATTGGTCGTGACGTGCTAGCGCACTGCGGCTTGGCTCCGCCCACTTGCGGTCCAGTCTCGGGTCATGTCGGCGGCAGTCGCCGTCTGGCCGGCCGGCGTGCGGGCCGCGCGCGCAGCGCAGCGGAGTGGATCACTTGTTTGCATGTCATGAACTTTTACTACAACAAATAAGGACGGAGCAAGTAAGAAAAGGAAGAGGAAACAAAGTGACAATGAGACGAGCGGTAGACGGTGGCTAGTGGACAGCAAACAATATGCATTAACGCTATGAGCAGAGACAGGAGACAAAGACTGTAGACGAAAGACAGACAATGATGGTAGACCAGAGACAAGTGACGGAGATAGAGATTAGAGAGTCGAGAGACTGACAAGGGGGAGTGAAGGATGGGAGATCAAGATCATTAACTCTCGATATTGCATATCTGCATTTTCAGATTGAGTCATCCTATCTTTCCCTGTTTTATTGTTTTTCGGCCCTAAGATCTATCAACAATATGCTTAAAGCGTTGTGGAAATATTATGGAAAGATTGACTATTTTTACCCCCCCCCCAAAAAAAAAATCTTTCTAACTAAACGCAAGTACATAGGTATGTGGATATCCTCAATTAAATAAGGCCGCTGAATGTCACATGCGTACCTAAAGACAATCCGGTAGATTATGCCTTGTTACTCCTTAAATGCACCATAGCCTGTAGGAAAACAGGGCAGCGGAGAAGCTCGCAACAAATTATTGAAAAAAAAACATTATTTTAATTTTGTAGGGAATAACATTCTGGAGGTTAATCTGTCACTGGAAGCAGTGCTTATCGTTTTATACAAACACCGATATGCATAACATTCTTCATCCTTATTCTCTCCGCCCAAGATACGGCATAAATTCACGCGAGGATACCTGCGTTAGCGTGTGTCTTGTTCCAATCCGTCAGAGCTCCGCACTGCTCTGACCCCGAGCGGCGAATGACCGGTCTCGGTGTCGCGGCGCAGTGGGCGGAGCTTAGCTGCGGCGCAACAGCTGACGCTGCTACGCCATGCTAGCCTCTACCACGGCGCAGAGTTTTCCGATCAATCTTTACCATTACAAGTCAATGACAAATGCCTTTCATTTTGACATATTGTTAAAAGACCATATTAGTAAAAATTAGGTAGGGCCTTGAAACTCATTGTGTCAAAGTTTAGTTGAAATCAAGCGTATAAGTAACGAGAAAGAGCCAAAAAGGACTGTTCCAGATGGTCTGAAATGCATAGTAGTCCATAACAAGAGTGCACTAGTGGTGCATTTGGAGTGGGATCCACCGTATAAATTTGAAGCATTGATAATGTCTATGGGCTTTGTTTTATATTATTCAACAACATAAACTTAATTATTTCAAAAGATCGCCAAAGGGCGAGCAGATTAAAAGGCATAGTCAAGACTCACAGCAGGGGCATTGACCGGAAAGGGCCATGTTGCATATCAGTCGACCCGTATCGTCGAGCTGAACACATCTGACGTGTTTTCACCGTTCTAGCACGTCTCGATCAACAGTTATAGCCAAATAGCTGCTGGTGACCGTTCATGACCTGAGATGACCACCTCAGAGGCACACAGAGGGGTCACAAGTGCATTTATCCGATTCAATCTGTCATGTTTACCTATGAATCGATGTTTGAGAGGGTTTTGAACGACATTTGACCAAAAGAGGCACATTTCAATCTTGTCCCGTTGACTTATACTTAATAGAGAGGCTGCAAATTTGACCTAACCTTAGGTCACACATATAAAAATCCGACATATACATTTTGTACACATTGCTATTCTCATCAATCACTGAAACTTTCAAAGTGATTGCTTGGTCGGTGTAGCTGTAACGAGCCTTTGAACTTAGACTCGTTACAGCTACAGAGGCTCGTTACAGCTGTAGCTGTAACGGTAAGGTCACTGGACGTGACCTGACCTTGAAGAACCGGGTCTAAAATTTTCACAACATGTGTGCCAAAGATGTATGAGCAGGTGTACCAAAAATGGCGGCGCGTAGCGCCGCCGTTTTCGAGATCGAAAACCCTGAGGGGTGACGTAAAAAACGCGCCCAGCACGGCGCGGGTTAATAAGGTTTTATCATTTTCAAGTGGAATTTGGGCCTGAACTGTGGCCGAACTAGCAACGCACCACCCTTGCATTGTAATAACTCAACCCCTGCCAATATTGGCTAGGGTGTCTTTCATTATATTGCGTAGATCATGTGAAGATCAAGAGTCCAAGACCTTGGTAAATACGTAAGTACATGTATTTGTATGATTTAACTTCTAGACTTGTATTGCTATGGTAGGACAATGGGCATTGTGCTAGGCTATACTCGTAAAAGTGTTGATATTAGCCTGAAAGACATCTTCTGAATAAATAATTGTTTTCTGTGTTACACAGCCAAAAAGAGTCGCATAAGTCGAAGTTTGACGTTACAGCAGCCCTGCCTCCTGTCGGGCTGAGTAAAGACTCCACCAATCGCTTTTAGCAAACGATGTTCCGCACGCCATGCCAGCATTTCCAGAGCACCGCGTTTCCTGCCAAGAGTGTGCGTGCACTGGTCAAGCGGTCAATAGCATTGACCACAGCTGTGAGCGACGGGTGGCGAAGGATAAGTCGTTTTTTCCACGCCGCAACACCGTGCCGGAATCTATACACTAGCAGCAGTAACAACTTATGTAAAAACTATGATTTTGCCATATGTAGCTGACGGTCTTATTAGCCAATTCCAGGGTAAGCGTCTCCCGGATGTACTCACAAATAGTTTGTCTTTGTGTCGTTTCAGTTATTATCATATTTGAATACCACAGCCTAAGATAACTGTTATTGGTAATATGCATATACCATACAATGAATAGCGAATAAAAAAGCCAGAGTTAAAACTAAGTGTAGTGTTTGCAATGCAGTGATTTTTCGCAGTAATTATCTTGCATATTATTCATAGGCAGAGATAAAACACCAAGCTGACAAAAAAAGATGAAACCAAGGCCCTAAAACTACGGTAAAATGTATTTCAAGATTGCAGACTTGTAGACATATAAACATGACTGTAGAAAGACCGGGGCTCATCGGTGCACGTGGTTCGCAGCAATCCATCCAAAATTCCCATCCATGCAAATTCAGCAAAGTCCCATCTTCAATGTGTTTGCTTTTCAGGGAGTAGGGAAATAATAGGGGGATAGGGGGTCATGCGTTATTTTCAGGGATTACATCATTAGATAAATTTTATAGCATGAAGGGCATCGGGTCAACTAAATTCGACATTGCATACTAATTTCAAGGAACATCTGTAGGAATACTTTACTCCAACGGCTTCATTAAAAAACTGAAAATGAGTCAACCAATTAAACTACCCCCTGACGAACGTATTTGGCCATTAAAACCAGAGGTTTTGCTCGCCAGAGGAAAAGGGGAGCTGCAAGGTAAGTGGTGACAATGACCAGGTACAAGGTAAGTGATAAGTGACAAATGAACTAGCTACATTGTTTGCATGCTATGAAGCATGATGCGTATATTATATGAAGTTGTTAGCCGCTGTGTTTTTTGGGTCTTCTGGTAATACCTAATCTTTTAATTTAGGCATAGGCACCAATTTTCCCGTGATTGAAAGGAGCTCCAGAGATTTGTAGGGAATGAAGTAAGGCTATTTAAGAAAAAACAACAGCAAAACATCTATCAATTATTTTAGTGAACATATGATCATGGTAAAAACAGCTGATTGTAAATCAGTAGGTACAGCGCGAGCGGCACAGTGTGACCTTTAAAAAATTATCCTGAGTGCCCCCTACCCTCACTCCCACCACCACCACCACCACCACCACCACAATGGTAGCCTATCCTCAGAACCGTATGATTATACCATTTATGTAAGGAAAGGACGTATTTTCATGTATATTGGCAGCCAAGGAAGAAAAGGCCGTTCGTGGTGCTGTAAAAGAAGCTGTGGCCACTTACAAAAATGAAATTGTGTCGCTCGTGGAGAACAATATGGAGGACAGGAAGCGCGCTGCCAAAATGCTGGTCAAGTCGGCGGAGGAAGCCGAAGAAATTCTAGTTAGGGAGTGCACTTATGACAAAAATAAGCGACTGAAGTATCGTGGAAAATGTGCAATAGTGAGTACCAACTACCAATGGCATGACTTCACTTCTAATAATCGATATCATTCATGATTTGGTCACGTATGAAATGTCAAAGCTGGTAAACAGACGTAAGGTAAATATTTTTTTATTGAGTTCTTTGCGGTACTGACTGTCTATTATACTCTTTCAATATCTTGGATTAGAGCTATTAGAAACACAATCTCAAGCGTATAAATTTCGTTCATATTCACTCTACGTCCTTCGTAAAACTTTTTCAGGAAACATCTGAGAACATCGACCAAGAAATTGCTAAGCTGAACAACGTTCTTAACGACATCTCAAACAAGCGGAAACAACGAACAAAAACACTTCTGGATCAACAAGTAAGTTATCGAACTAGTTCTGGTAATTGAGCACGGCTGTTCGCTTTGTTAAAAACCACACATTCCATTAATTGGGCCTGATGATCAGAAATTGTTTTTTTTTTACCCTATGTAGTGCCTGGAGCGTTATATAATTTACCTAGCGCAGCCGGTCCAATTATTTTAGCTGGAAGCAGCGACAGAAGTGCTTCTCTCTCATTTTCTGCGCTCCTCTAACACACAGCTGCTTATGTTTCTCAAAGCACCCTTGCCGGCTCTAAGCGTCAAGGGAATACCTATACGATGCTCAGCTGCCACCAGTCAGCCGCACGCCCCTGAAGCAGGCGGGCAATTCAATGTGAAACACGACGGCGTTGGCCACGACGGCGCCGTAAGACACAATCCACTGTTGACGGACGCTGTGATTTGTGAGGGTCTCATTTGCGCTGTTAGATCGCCTATTCATTACCACCATAAAACTTTGAACTTGTTGAGCATTTGTAGCTTATTTTCGAAAGTTCCTTTCTCTTCTGCACGGCCACCCGAGCGTTATGACCGTGTCGTCATACGATGCAGTTAAGTACGACCTACATGTGAATCTACATGTGAGCGAATCTCTTTCCCCGGCCTCTGCCCGTCTAATCGCCGCCCTGTGCCCATCCAATCGGCCATTGATTGTGATGGAGGCTGCCCCCGTCAGCCGTCATCGAACTGGCAGCTGCCGAGCCGGGCAGAGCTGTAACAGCTTGACGAGTCCCCTGTGTTACATTGCCACATCCATCCATCGTCTCTGACAGCGTTGGCGATCGCTGGGTCTGCGACGCTCACCGGTCACCGGGCAGAGGGCGATCGCCGGCTGACCGTCCCTCGGTGGGGGGGGGAGGGGGAGTGGTCCTATCTGTTACCAACCGGCGCGGCAAAGCGCCGGTGGAGTGGATGGTGGACAGCGCAGACGTCTCCTGTGGGACCAGTTCTATATCAGGATCCGCCCACTGAGACACAATTGCGTGCTCGGCGCTGCCCGGCGGATGTGGTGTAATCTGTGGGGTGGGTGTTGTGTTTCAAAGCTCAAGAGTATCAAGTCTCTCTAATCAGTTGCGCGGCAACAAGAGTCATTCTCATTTTGGAGTTAAATCAAAATTACATCTTTGTATGGGACCGACTGCGATATTAATAACTGTGCGTCCGTGATGACTGTGATGCAAGCTTCAACCATCAATTATCACACCAATAAACATTCCTTGTTCGATAGAAACGCTTGTATCAGCATCTCATCTCGGATCAGTATTCAAGGCCGAACATCGATTGCTTGCAGGAAGAGATTGATGTTACCTCGGCTAAATGGCACCGATGTTCCAGTATGGCACTTGACGCGATGAGTGGCCATAAAACGCCAGCTGTGGAATCGTCCTAACAACAACAATGACGATTCCACAGTGACATGGGGCAGGGCAGAGCCGTGCGGCACAGCATACCTCCAGGCGCACGCCTTCAGTGCCATCTACTGGCAATGCCTGCAACTGTCGAGTGGAACGGACCTATCCATGCAGGCCACAACCGCCCAATTATCCCGATAACAATAATGAGAATCAGTTCGCTGCTACTAGCTGGTTCTAAGGCATCCCACCACCACCGTGTGGCATTCATCCGATTCCGACGCTGCTGTTGCTGCCTCCGCGGACTCCGTGCCTCAGGTGACCAGCCATGAACGGGACACGCTGGGCCAATAATGGCCTGTCTCTCGCGGCAATAATGACACGGGCGCCGGCCACCTAGGGTGTCGCAGACTGCACACTGATTTGCGGTGAAGACATGGAGACGAGGCGGCGTGCCGGTTTCGCCTTTGTCTCGGGTCTTTGCATCATCTCTTTGTGTCAGGCAAATGGGGATGGGGGATGCTGGATCATAACAATAGCGATAAAGATTATTGTTTGTCGATGAATAGTGGTGCCTTCACGCTTGGTGACGTTCTGAGGAGGTGAGCAATTGTTTCTGATAGTTGTCGTTTGACATTTCTTCACCTGACAAAGGATTTATTTTATTTATCTTGGATAGCAGGTTGCAGTGGCGCCTTTCAAGTATGTTGGAGAGCATATCTTGCGAACAATGTTTAACGTTATCGACATATTGTGCTGTTTGTGTATTATGCCCGGACAAAGCAAGTGCACCCAACCACAAAACAGTCTGCGATTGAACATTCCGGTCGACCTTCTGACCTTTTAGAAGCGAGCCACTTTTCTTACAAAAGAACAAACTTTGTTGAATTAAGTACTGCATTGTAGTGCCTTTTGAATAATTGGGAGCAGCCGACCAGCTACTTCAATTGGAGGGAAATCCCCTGAAATGGACCTGATAGTCGTACATATGAACAAAAAACGGCTGCCTCGTCCAGAACTAGAGAAACACTTCAAACACGGCGAACACTTTAGCCAGATGTTTCCCTGAAAGTCTGGTCCAAGTGGTGTGAGATGTATAGCTGCTTTAATTTTTGTCTCCTTCTTAGAGGATAATTTTGACACTTTATAGGACTGAAGGAGTGCCTGAGTGTCGAAGATCCCCAATATTCACATAATAATGTTGAAAAACGCGAAAATCGTGAAAGCTCCCTGACATTGCAACCATTGTTAGAAGCCACCTGAGCTGTGGTTGATTGACTGCAACTGACTGATAGTGCCTGACAGCTGAGTCTGGCGACTCTGTCGGCCCGCAGAAGACGCTGGCGACGATGCAGGTGGCGGAGGAGTACGGCGTCAACACCTTCCCGGAGGAGGAGCAGCAGTGCCGCCAGCTGGAGTGCAACCTCGAGAAGCTGGACCAGAAGCTGTCCGCGGCCGACAGGTGCCGACACAAGTACCGGCAGTTCATCAACACCCTGCAGGCGGTGAGTGCTCCGGTACTGGCAGCTGGGTAAACAGGCAGAGCGGCCAGCAGATCAACGAGCAGTTTGGTACACTTACTGGCAGTCTTACAGACAGCCTGACAGGTAATGGAAAATTTAGATTGGAAGAGAATAGTCGCAACGTTCTCGGGCTAAACATTTGCCCACAGAAACATTATAAAGTATGTTAAAAGTTGCATGCTCGTAGCGTCGAGTGACCCGCAGTGTTATCCCCAGCCGATTGATTTTTCATATAGTTACAACAGCTAGAAGGATGAACAATTATGTAAGGTAGGACCATATTGTGTTACCCAGGCTTAGAACGTTGCTGCCTCGGTTTTGCGGCCTACCGCGCATCATTTATTCGCAAATGATGTCCACACAATCGATTCGAACATTTTTTTCAGGAAAGAAAACTGAATGGACCGCGCCTAGAAAACCTCAAGAAATGCATAAAACAGGATATCTATGATTTGGAAGTGTGTCACGACATCATGATGAAGGGACACATTTTATCACAAGACGCCTCCGGCAGCCTGGAGGAAGCAACTGAGGTTAGCTCTCCAGCAAGCATAGCCTTTAGATGATGTAATGCTAAATTCTATTATATCGTAAAACTTCAAAAACCAGCATCTGTCATTTTCTTCGCAAGGTATGTAAATACATAAGTTATCAGATCAAATAGGCACCTACACGGAAATTAAATGTGTAGTCTATTTAAAACTGCTGTAATAACAGTTCGATTTTTGTTGCCAAAGTTTGACGGTGTGAATGCAGTGCTGGAAACTTTTATGACCGTCGAAGTTCACTTTCATAAACCGCACTTATCGCATAAAATTCATCTTAGTTTTATATTAATCCGCGTTGTGTTTATCCGTTTATCAAAACTTAAAGTTTTCTTCAGACAAACAGTAGCTTGTGCGAAAAAAAAACTTACTTCCCCTCGGATTACAGACCTACACCAATGAGAAGAAAGATCGTGATCATGACCTGAAAAGTCTGAGAAAAGAAGTGCTCAAGAAGGCAGACCAGGCAAAAGGCAAAAAGGTGAGCTCGGACGGTTGTATCGTTTTTAGCTTGCTCATGTGTTACCGCTTGAATATGGTAATCACAGTGCATACAAGCCTTGTAAATGCGCATCAGAAGTGGAGTTGCGGCAGGCGCGGTGGTAATATATTGCATGCAATCCGCTTATATGTATATCGTACATTTACCTTTCATATATCTGCAGTAATTAATCCGAACCGACCTTTATGCCAGACCAAGCAAACGGGGCATTTGCCTCATTATTCCTCAGCTCAGCATGTCATCAGAGGCTATTCTCGGCAGCGTTATTTGCGAGCTCACCTTCGCCCATACCGAGTCCGCGACTCTGCAGTGTCTGTGATTATGCATCTACGCATAGGTGTATTGCTTTTATCCGTTCATCATCGCGCTAACCCTGCAGCCACGCCTATGTCATGTGCAATGCATTGCAACAGTTATGTATCTGCGTTTCCCGGCAGGCGACTTTGACAGAAGTGAATCTGGACAAGGTTCTGAAGGGCCAACAGAACATGTTCGCCCAGCTGCAGGAGCGGCGCAAAACCATTGCAGAGCTGGAGAACTGGTCGTTCAACTTTGAGGCCCTGCGAGAGGTCACCCGTGGCACCAATATGGCCGGCGTGGTCGCCAAGTGAGTTTGGCGAATCAGAAAATATGCAAGGATACCTTTACATGGAAAAGAAAACCTTGAGGTCTGAGTCCTGATGGTTATGGTGCATATGTAGACATGCCGATATTATATTTCAACCATTTACGTAGAAAATGACTGCATTGCATTTGCGACCCTTGATCGCGATTTGACTTCACTACGCGCCTCTGCATAATGACCTTCAGCTCTCCTCCCTGCGATAACCCGTTAGATAACGAGTCTCCGTTGCCAGCTGGACACTGTATATCGGTAGCAGCGCGAGGCGTGGCGATATGGTTCTTCCCACGCCTATAGTGTGCTTCTGGTGTGCGGGGAGTGGTACGCATTCGGCGTCACCTTCACGCTCCCACATCCACAGTTTTTTTCCGCCATGTTCGCCAGCAAATGATACCCGAAGGTTGTTTCTTCATTAGACAAACACTATTCTTTAGAATTGTGTTTTTCTATTGAAAAACAAACTGAGGGTGTTTCCATTTCGGGATAGGATTTGTGTTTGGTGCAGCGAATTGGGGCACCTTGCACCGTTTGCACACGAACCGATAGATTTTGATTAAATTTTCAGGGCAGCTGCCCCCACAGATTATCTACCAAGAAACACCCTCAGCTAAGAATATAATTACTTTTCTTGCACGTGGCACGTGCACGTGTTTTAGGCCCATAGGCTTCAACATTAGGTGGATTTTCGGCATCGCATTTCTCGCAGACGGGTGCTTGTAATGCGATGGGCTTCTATGTGCTGGGTGGCCGCCCCGGCATCTACCATGAGCCGGCGGCGCCGTTTCGGGCAGCTTCGGAAAGGGGGTGCAAATTGCACGTGCAGCCGCCATTGGTTTAACGTTACGAAATGGGTCAAAACGGGTTTTCTCGATTTGCTCAAAATCGGCTCGATAGATTTTCTTTGTTTTTTTAGTTCTGGTAGTCGGTCAGTAGTTTCGTTCGACAATGTCAATCGCTTGAAATATAATAAACTTTTTTGCACGTGGCACACGCACAAATTTTCACGCCTTAAGTTAATGGGATTTCTTGAAAAAATTACTTAACCCTCGCCGGCCGAGGGGGGGGGGCGGGTGCCGCCCCCCCCCCCATAGGGTTTTTTCGCGATAGCTCCGAACACGCTGGCGATAGAGAGCTGAAACTTGGCATACCTGACCTTTGATCCAAGCCGCATCTTTTGACACCAGCCGCATTTTTGGGTCAGGTCAGGTCACTGACCTATGACGTCATAAGTGAACCTCTGCACGGTCTTCAGATGTCGCAACTTCGCAACGCCCTCACTGCCAGAGGAGATGTCACAGGGAAATGAAACTTGCAGGATCTAGTATCCATTATGAGTCCCACAACTTGTATATCTCGGATTTTTCCTAAAGGTCATATGAGGTCAGGTCATTTTCGTGACCTCACCATTATAAGTCAATGGGGAAAAATGAAAACAGCTATTATGGCGCCGGGAACGATCTCCAACTATCTCAAGCACACAGAATCGTGATTTTATGCACTCCTTGCAAGGTTATATGCGTCACTTTTGCAATGTTGACCTTGCGTGACGTCATTTATGACGTCATCAAGGTCATATTAGTTTTTCGTCAATAACTCTTGACCAAATTGAGCCAGCGAGACGGGAAAGCCACCAATGGACTCAGGAAGACCTGCCGAATCGAATGATATGCGACATGACCCCTTTCGACCAACTTCGTGACCTGGGGGTGCTGACCTGACCTTGACCTGAGGTCAACACTCCAAGTTGACCTGACCCGGACAAAAAGTATATCATTCGACGCGCCTGAGCGAGACGAACACGATGCTGCCAAAATCGGCGCTCTGCGGCCGTTTTTTGTGAAGTTATTCACCAAAAACTGAACCGTACCTTGGGGCACTTGACCTGACCTCAGAGGTCACCGGTTGACCTAGGACCTTAAAATCGGGTACCAATCTCTGCGTCTCGTAACGGCGCACACGCTCGTTTTTTTCCGCGACGCGCTAGCTCCACCAGGGGCGAAACGGCGAGGGGGGGGGGTTGTACCCGCCCTCCCCCCCTCGGCCGGCGCGTATGTAGAAAACTAATAGGTCCGGCGAGGGTTAAATCGATTTTGCTCAAAATTTCCACGTTAGATGTTAAAAATGCTTCAGTATGATATGCACCCACATGTCGCCTACCAGGTGGCATAGGCCATATATGGGGCGATTGAAATGCACGTGCACGCCCCGCACTTGTTTGAGGGGACCACCTCCGTGAAAATTTGACCACTGCTGGTATGATGGCCTGTGCCGCGCAAACAATGCGTGCCAGCGGAACAAATCGAGGTCAGTCGTCAAGGGGATGCTCTAGGATAGTTGTACACCTGATTACGTGGTGCACGTGTTTTCGCACGTGCGCCACGTGGGTGTAGCATTTTGGGATAGGTAGCCATTGGTGCATAATTATGCTCAGGTGATAACCTCACTGCATGGGTTTGAGCCAGAGTTCCAAGTCGGTTGCGATAATGACCATTGGTGTTGGGTCTACTACGTGTCAAACACGAGGCCGCCCGGGGTTCTCCATTCCGGAGATATTGTGACCGATAGTGAGGTAAGCCCTAATTTAAAGATTGGCCAAGTTTGATCGGCCGCTGGGAGACAATGGTGGCGCACCCGAAAGTCTACCCATGGGCACTGACGACCCCTTTCATATGGTACAAAAGGGTGGTCGCTGTATGTCTTTAGACCACACGTGGCACGTGGCACCCCACCTCGAGAGACCACGTGCACTCTCAATGTAGGGGAGAGTGGGGTGGGTTGTATCAGATTTTACTCCGAAACCCATAACATCGTAACTATCCGTGATAAACTCATTATTTCCATACTATCACCTTCCTTGATTCTTCTGCTTTTTTGTGCAAAGTAACTTTTCCGCTACCTCTACCAGTTTTTCTTCTACGGTCTGCCGAACAGAACAATGTTTTTGATACAACTTGCCCCATGGCCTGGGTGAGTTGTATCACATGGTGGGGTAATTTGTATCACTAGGTATTTCACGTTTCAGGGAGTGTGCTTGCTACTGGTTTTGAACATAACAACAACATTAAATGGGGTTAATACAATGTATATGCTCAAAGGCTTCACTTTTATTAGACCAAACTTAGGTCAATGCAATCCGAACGAAACATCGAAACGAACGAAACATCAACAGACTAGATGCAAAAGTGGCCCGTTAAGAGCAAAGAAGCCAACACATTGTGCCGAAATGGAACGAGTACGGTATGTCTAAAAAGTATGTCCCCTGGTTTGGCTCTCCCACCGTAGGCGAATCGGTAACTTGGCGGAATCCGCCACCGAGGTAGGGAGGGTCGGAGAGGGGAAGGGAGGGGAAGGAGGGGCAACCGCTCGGCACTGGGCGATACCTGGCTGACCCCGCGCTCCCTCCATGACCTCCGTCCTGCCCTCAGGCGAGGACCGATTTCCTCGGCCCGTAGCGGCTGAGCGGTGAAGCCGAGCTCGCGGGGCGCGACTACACTGGCCCAATCTTATAAATGGAGTGCTATTCTTTTCACGGCATTAGGTAATATTTATAGTGATACCAGCACTCAGCAGTGGATGTGTAAACACTAAACATACCTGCAGTCCAAAACAAACGGAAGCATCAAGCACACAATTGCTTCATAATATGCTCTCCCATTCCAATAGTCACCCACTTCTATAGAGGGTGTAATTTCTTAGGGCGTAAAATTCGCGCTGCTGCAAACGAAGACACTACCGAACTTTATGAAATCGGGCGCTGGGATCCCATCAATATACGATGGACTTCAATGCGTGAAAACAATTTTGCACTTAGCCGTAATAATAACCGTAAGTGACATCATATCCAGTCCCCGGCGTTTATAAGATTGGAACCAGCAACCCACGAGGAAGTCTGTTTATAGAGCGTATTATCTTGAGAGAGAGAGAGAGAGAGAGAGAGAGAGAGAGAGAGAGAGAGAGAGAGAGAGAGAGAGAGAGAGAGAGAGAGAGAGTGAGAGAGAGAGAGAGAGAGAGAGAGAGAGAGAGAGAGAAAGAGAGAGAGAGAGAGAGAGAGAGAGAGAGAGAGAGAGAGAGAGAGAGAGAGAGAGAGAGAGAGAGAGAGAGAGAGAGAGAGAGAGAGAGAGAGAGAGAGAGAGAGAGAGAGAGAGAGAGAGAGAGAGAGAGAGAGAGCTGGAACCTGGCATATCTGTCCTTTGACTCAAGCTAGATTTTGTGACACTAACCGCATTTTCAGGTCCTTGTCAATGACCTATGACGTCATTGGTGAACCTCTGCATGGTCCTCAGATGTCGCAACTTGGCAACGCCCTCAGTGCCAGAGCAGCTTTCACAGGGAGTTGAAACGTTCAGGACCTGCTCCTAGCGTCCCAAAGAGGTCTCACGACTTGTAAATGTATCCGTGATTTTTAAGACAATCACGTGACCAAACCATTAGTTAAAAGGAAAAATGAAAACTGCTAGATATTTTGTCTCCGGGAACGATCTCGAATTATCTCAAGCACAGGGAATCGTGATTTCATGCACTTCTTACATGGTTTGATGTTTTGCAAATTTTGCATTGTTGACCTTGCGTAACGTCATTTATGACGTCATTGAGGCCATAATTTTTTCGTCAATAGCTCCCGATCAAATTGGGCTAGCGAGTCGGGAAAACCACCATTCACCAATGCAGTGGAAGACCTGTCGAATCAAATGATATGCGATATCACCTCCTTTAACCAGCTTCGTGACCTGGGACTCTGACCTGACCTTGATCTGAGGTCAACTGAGACCTCAACCGAACAAAACGTATGCCTACCATTCGACACCTCTGAGCGAGGCGAATTAAACGATTAAGCCAAAACCGCGACTCTGCGGCCATTTTTGCGGTTATTTATCAAAAACCGATTTCTTGCCTTGGGCCATATTACCTGACCCTGACCTGGCTAACGCGTTATAAGTTTCCTCGGCGAACACTATTGTTTATTAGGCGTCTACCAAAGATGAACTATCCAAAATTCTCACTTTATGAAAATAAGGTAAAATTTCCTTTTTATTTCAATTTTGTTTTTCTTTCTGATAAATTAAAGGAAAACTAAAACAAAACATTAAAATAGCAAAAACAAAAAATGCGTGTATTTTTCTTTCACAAATTTCCAGGAGTGTTCTTGCAGCGATAGTATCTCGGCATCGTTAACTTCGATCCGGATATTGTTATTCAATGGTGGCCTCTGCGAACTTAGAAAAGCTGTTTATGGTCATGAAGGCCTGCATTGGCAAACTCTATTACCACGATGTGGTTAACCAGATGTTTTTCCTTAACCCTCCTTTTTGGCTCAGACACGTCGCTAAACGTGGCACCCGTAGCAAACGTGTCAAACGTGGCAAAACTTCACAGTCCCTACAAACCCTCATCAGCACTCGTTGGCTTGGTGTGTGACCCCTGCCCTTTGGCCGAGACAGCCGCCAGCCTATACCGCGCGCCGCGCGGCGCACCCCTCCTTAGCGGGCGGGGGAGCGCACCACGCGCTCCCCGCCCACACCCCTCCCTCCTTCCCGAGGTCGTGTCACGAAGGTTCGGGATTACGCTACTACCAGCCACTGCGTAGCTGTCGCCCAGCGCATGGGAATACGTGGCTTGGTCCGGATTCAGCCAACTACCGGCTCGCGACAGCAGCGCCGCGTGGTGGCGAGGGGACATTCTTTTTAGACATACTATACCTATTGACTATAGCTACCTATAAACGCGAGACAGGGCTTAGCTTTCGCGATCAAAAGCAACATACCCATACATACATACATGTTACAATATACCCCACCCGGCTCTGATACAACATGTACCTCGCCGCCATCTTGGAAAAAAACATCCTCGTGCTCAAAAACAGCGGACAGCTGGAGAAATCCATTTTCACTCACGCAGCCTTAGAACCTACCCTCACCACCGCTACGGAGATCTTTCAAATTCGTGCGCATCTAAATGCCCAAAACACACATTTTCTTGCAACTCATTTTTTTAGAATGACATTAAAAAACATAAAATCGGCTCTCACCTCGAGACGCGTCCACCCAGCCACACGACAGAACAGGGAAAGATGGCGCCCGGAAAACCTCGTCGGCTGGTCGTGTCACGAGCGCTATCTATTGAATAAGTTTGGCACAATTCGCCCTGATACAACTTGGACATGATACAACTCTCCCCGCTCTCCCCTAAGGCGTTTTGGCCATAACTTTGCCATTTATGGGCCGATTTCGACGAAACTTGCAACATTGATGCATTAAAATGGCCTGCGCCACATACGGTGCAATGAATACAACAATCTGATGTGCGCCGTTTTAGTCTCTAGTGCGTCATTTTAGCTACAGTGGCTTGAGTTGGGGAATATTACGCGTATTTATTTCGACGGGCCGGTTTCGTCGAAACTTGCAACGGTAGTGCACAAAACTAGGCTGCGCCACATATGAAGCGAGGCATAAAATATGCTGTTGTGCGCCATTTTTGTCTCTAGTGCGCCATTAATTGCCTAAAGTGGCTAAAATTAAAGAATCTTTGATCAGTTTCATGTACCTATTAAAATAAATTACGGTGAGGTACGCATATGTATATATATATACATGTAACGTCTCGCGTTACTTTGGTCTTAATTGCGTTGGCGTTTCGAGCGTGCAATTGGCGCGTTTTGCGGTGTTTGCGTTTTGTGGCGGGCGGGCGTTTTGTGTTTTTTTGCGGTGTTTGTGTTTGGCGACAGGCGGGCGATGCGGGCGTTTTTTTTTGCGTTCTTTTTGGTGTTATTTTTTTCGTTTTTTGCGGTGTTTGCGTTTGGCAGCGGGCGGGCGATTTTTAGGCGTTTTCGGTTGGTGGTTAGCGTGCGTGCGATGCGGGCGGTTTATTTTTTGCGGCTTTTTTGCGGTTATTGCGGTTTGCGGCGGGCGGGCGTTTATTTGTATGTTTTTTGCGACGTTTGCGTTGGCGTTTCGGGCGTGCGTTTTGCAGTGTTTGCGTTTTGCGGCGGGCGAACGTTTTGTGCTCTTTGCGGTGTTTGTGTTTGGCGGCGGGCGGGTGAGCGATGCGGGCGGTTTTCTTTTTTTGCGTCGTTTGCGGTGTTCAATTTGTTTGCGGTTGGCGGCGCGGCAGTTGGGCGCTTTTTAGGCGTTTTCGGTTGGCGGTTAGCGTGCGTGCGATGCGGGCGGTTTTATTTTTTGCGGCGTTTTGCGTTTTTTGCGGTTTGCGCCGGGCGGGCGTTTATTTGTTTGTTTGTTTTTTGCGACGTTTGCGTTGGCGTTTCGGGCGTGCGTTTTGCGCGTTTTGCGGTGTTTGCGTTTTGCGGCGGGCGGGCGTTTTTTCACAATTCAAAGTCCCAACCTTCGGGCCGCAGCGCTCCTCGAAAAGCGCTGCCCTCGAGTATGTGACCGGGGCTACCAGAGTCAAGCTCAGTATGGAGCTGCACGTTGGACTCAAAAGGTCTTTGTGCACTGTGCACTGTGCAGCCTTCTAGAACTATGTAACATACACTAAGGCATACACATTAGTTCAGAGCTTTCTTATGACTTCATTGAAATTTGGATTTGGTGCATCACCTAGTTACGTGTCCATCGCATGCATGTGTGGGATGAATGTGTGTTGAGCTATGTTCTGACCTTTACTAACCTACGGCCCTGCTCTGCAAGTGTCAACACGCTCCGCTATCTTGAATGCTGGCCAGCTCTGACGTCTATTCCCATACTAATAGACTAACTACTCTTTGTTGACATCTCTATATCTTTGGCTTAACTGCCCGCGCCCCTGGTTCGATCCCGCAGGTTTGAGGGCCTGGTGGAGCGTCACACCTACCTGAGTAACGAACGAGAGCGGATCGAGACGCAGCGCCAGGCGCAGTTGCAGGCGCTGCAGGACCAGCAGGCGGTACTCTCCTCCGTGGGACACACGGGAGCTACCGAGCGGGAGGCGTGAGTGTTGCCCCGTCCGGTCGCAGGAAACATGCATAACTACAGAGTGCATCTGAAGGCACGCATAGATTCACATGCACGCGTAAATCAATACATTCAGACCAGTGCACTGCACTCATACGAACATCTACGTACACACAAGCACACTTGCGACAACCTCCAAGTGGTGCAGATGGTGCAGCCTTAGCAGTTCCTTAGCACTACAAAAGTCCTTCGTTCCACCCTTGTATACGCTCTTGATCAGTTCCTGCGAATGAAATAGCTTGTATTCGCCACAAATAAAACGTTACAACAATATGCAGTACCGGATAATAGACCATGCAAGACACAAAATATCACTTTATGACCTCGAGCCTAATGTCAGTTAGCACTAACTTAGTGGCTGATATACGACCTTAGCTGACCTGTGAATCTTTTTCCCTCCGTTATTTTTCGACCGTTTTCATTCTAGAGTGTGCCTGTTGAAGTAGGCGTTTCTAAGCATTGATGCAAAGAAAGCAATCATTATAATATTAAGCAGATACTTCATATGCGGCGAGCCCTTCTCCTTCCTGAGCCTGTTGTTATTTTTGCTACGGAATGAGCCTCTCTTGGCAGAACAATCGGTATTTTTCTAGAGGCTGGTCGCTTTGCAATGTAAACCGCGGATAATGCATCGATGTCAGTGAGTTTATGTTTAGTTTTGGTTGCTTTTCTTTCTTTTTCTTGTTTCCTCCTTTGAACTTTGCTTTTATTTCCAAACTGTGTTTATGTTCTTTACGTCACTCACCTCCATAAAGTAACACAGGTAAGTACATTGCACTATTATTTCAGGGAGGAATTGAACATTGAATTGAATATAATAATTCATCGTTCCATAGCCACTAACTATGCCTATATAGCACAAGCACGACATGCGACTTGTGAAAATGCCGCAACAGGGTGAGATCGATACTATGGCGTGCGGGCGTGGCCCAGTGCGTGTGAATATGTGTGCGTGCCAACAAGCGTACGAGTATTTGTGTGTTTATGACTCGAGCACGGATCGTATAGTAAATGAGAAGGTAATTGCTTTCTTATACATGTGAATTGTAGTTACTATTGGTGTAAAACACGCAACATGATGACTAGTGTGTGAAATATCTTATCAAAGTTGTTTGTCATTAGCATAAAACAAGTTTGCTTCAGTTTTATCTTTTTTGCTATATTTCAATAACGATGCCTTCTTCTCTAAGTTTGCATAATTCCCGAGCATAAGATTACCTTTGCGCACTTTTTACGATGCTGGGATGCAGACTACAGGGGAAATGAAGCTGGCAAAGTTATGTACTTTGAGTAAGATCGACATTTCATTGGACTCGTCACCAAACTTTCACTTAATTAATCTCAAGATAAGTGCAAGATGACAAGTTATATGTTAGTATAGACTGCCCGGTCAAAAACTTGGTGATGAATTAGCTCGGGGTCGGTAGCTGTACCCTATATATATAACGAAAAATCCATTGGCACCGCAAATAAATAACTCAAAACATTTGTCAACCCACGTAGATAGACGACACTGAAATAGATCGAAGAACTTTACCCGTGGCCAGATCAATGGACAATAGTCATTGCAGCTCTGCAACGTTTTAATGAAAGAACGCATTGCGTCGGACACCAATTCAGCGGCCATCAAGCTGTGGTGTTGGGTTCGTACACCATTTAGGCACATTTTTGCAGCGCGGCAGTGGGCTGATCGGCCCGCCCTGAAGCGTTGGTCGTACACGATGCCATCGATCCCAGACAACGCCATCGATCCCGACGTGTTATACCGCTCCAAACGCGTCTGCCCGCCGCCCGGGCGTCTCAATGGACACACCGCGCCAAACCACTATTTGCCACCACTGGATGGTGGAGCTCTAAAATTGTCAGGTGCAAACTCTGAACAACATATAGAGCTTCCTTTTCTCATTTCTTGTCGTTTAGATTTTTAAAGCGACAATCTTACTTTTTCGATGAAGTTTAATATTTGATGGAGGTCGCTCAAGGAAACATGTCATTTGCTGGTGAGCTCTGCCATTGTCCTTCCTATGCCTATACCGTCAATCAAACTCAGAAAAGTTGTTACTGCCTTGAGGCGGATAACTCGATAATCTCTTCGCGTAAACATGTGTATTATTGGCAAAAAGGCTGAGCCCGAGCCGCAGTACAGCAATCGATGGAAAATGGAATTGTGCAATATTTGTGTGTACGTGTGTGAAAACATATGTACGGATTCTACTGTATAATGAGCAGGTTTATCAATGTACTGATGACCGTCCGGTCATCATTGCCGCCACATCCTTTCCAAACTGCTCTCAAGTTAATGATACTGCTGCTATTGAACAAAATCAGAATGAAAACTTTTCCCTCACTTTTGATTTTAAGCGTGCGATAAAATGACGCGTGAAGTGGCGCTGACGCATTTTTGCACCCATCCTTAGTTTTGACACTGCCGTTACCATTTGACGTTACCGTATGCCTCTCTGTGTGTGTCTGCGTGTGTTCCACAGACTGGACGGTCGTCTGGCCGAGCTGCAGAACCAGCTGCACTCGCAGCAGGCGCGCCGTGACGCCGCCGAGGAGCAGCTGCACGTCCTGGGCAGCTCTCTGAGCGGCACACGCGCCACACTGCGGCAGATGCTGCGCGCTCTCAAATTCGTCTCACGGCCGCAGGGGTGGAGTCGACGAACAGACCAGAATGAAATGGGTGCGTGCAAAGTAAATGCTGACACAAAATGGTGATGTTGAATATAAGCACCGAGTGCTCCTGAATGAGTCATAACCCATATTTGCTTATGGATTTTCTTTTGTCATTTCGAGGGCTCCTGGCGATAGACTTGATTGCATGGATCGCAAGCACACCTCTGCCCCCGATTTTAACTTAATTGCTTGAACAGTCTGAAGTTCAGTCGAGCAGTCCCGTCGTCAAACTGCTGAAAAGTCGTGAAGCAGTTCGCTTTTGTGACGAGCATCACTTTTATTCGACAGACTTTATAGATGCAGACTTCACAGTTCGCATCACGTCTGAAAATATAGAAATGACTGGCTCTGCGATGCCTGGATCGTTTACCGTTTTGCATACATTGTTATGGTCCTTAGTGACTCGGGTCTGCTCCGAGTGGCCCCTCTGACCAATAGTGACCACTCTGACAGACGATGAGCCCTCTGACCGACAGTGACATGTCTGATCCCTCTGACCCACCTGACCCCCTTGACCCATCTGAAACCCTCTGACCCGCTGTTCCCCCAGCCGGTGACCTGGAGCTGCTGCGTCTGAAGCTGATCAGCCTGCAGCAGCGGTTCGTGGCCTTGGGTGCCCCTCTACGGCCCGACTCTCAGCTGTCAGTGCGCTCAGAGGCCCTGGACGCGCCCAAGACGCAGTACAGAGTGGGCCGGCAGGCACGGGATTCGCTCATCTCCGCAGAAAGTGAGTACTCACTAACCCGCGACCGCCTGGGGGGGGGTCGGACCCCCCCCCCCCTCCGTTTTTCTTGAATAACTCATGAACCGCTTACGCTATCAACTTGAAACTTGGCATACCTTCTCCCCCATCAATTTGACGTCTGCTGTGTAACTTTCAAGAAAATTTTTCCAATTTTTTTTAGATATATATTGATTTTAGTGATGTAACTACATGGCGGGTTCAGTCAAAAAGTGGTAAATGTTTAAAAAATCGCCAAAAATCAAGGTTTCAAGCAAATTGCAAATTAAGGACATGAATAGACGCAGCTTAACGAGTTCTTTAACATGGCTATCTCGGATGTTCCTTAAAATGCGTTTTTCACCCCTAAAAATTCAAAAAACTATATTTTTGGAAAACAGCTAATAAAATCCAAAATTTTGAGAATTTCCAAAACCGGAATATATGTTATAGAGCTCTATTAGAACATTAGATGTCCCAAATTTCAACTTTCTATCTTGATTTTTGACCCCCAAATTGTAAAAAATAGCTCCAACATGCATAGGGCATGGTGACGTCATAAGCATTTTCGTGAATTAGAGGCACTTATGAACATCGCATGTGAAAACAAATTCCTGCACCACTAGATTCCTGGGACAAAGCTCGTCTAGAAAAGTGCATTTTTATGTCAAAAATAAAAAGTTGAAAAATTGACCTTTTTTCTTAGCCCTCGTTTAGTTATGTATGGTATAAACGATTTTCTATGCTTTCAATGCACATTTATCACCAGCACAGTGACTTGGAGTCACATATAACCATTACCATCGGATTCGGCGTGAAAAATAAGCCATAAAACATGTGTCACACGCCCATGTAGCAGAAAGTGAAAACCGTGACCTTTCGTGACCTGACCTGACCTTGACCCGTACTTAGTATGACCCCTATACGCACATGGTACCTTCACTAGCCTTTGAGGTCATTTTTGGTGAGTTTCGAACGGCAGCTATCGATTCCGCTGTCCGTAAGCCTAATCATGCAAAACACCAGAATTTGACCTTTGACCTGACCTTGACCCGAAAGTTGACCTCACTCTTAAAATCTTAAGAGTGCTTTGGGAAGGTTTCGTAGAGACCTTTCGAACGCCGCCTCGCGGGGCCCGATACGACCATTGGTTCTCGAGATAACAGGGGGGGTCGGATCCGACCCCCCCCCCCCGGCTGTCGTGGGTACGGAAATAGCCCAGGCGGTGCCGGGCTAAGATACACTCCCTCGTAAATTAGTAATGGTAACTGATTTAAGATTTGAGTAGGCATCCGTATGGTTCCGAAGAACCTGCAGCCTTGCGTATTCGTCACGTAGCCAGCAATCGAATGTGTGATGCGTTGTATTTAGGCATAATTTGATATTGAAACATATTCAAAGTCAAATATGCCATTTCATTCTTGTGAAGTTTCATTGTACGTCTCGGACGGCGGGCAGAACCAAATTAACTCTCGAGTCTCGGCTCATTATCCCAAGAGGACTATTGGTTATTGAAGTGACCCTGTTGACCTCGAAACTATTCTCTTAATCTTTCGCTGCTTATGTTAAACCATAGATAACATGGATCATGTTATCTATGGTTAAACTAAAGATATTCGTATGCACCTTGAATTTAACCGTAATAGGCGTTAGGAGCTGTGGACAATACGTAGCATCCGCTTAATAAACCCTTATTGGATAATAAATTCAACCGCTTATTGTGGCCATTTGAGCCTTTCGCGGTTTTCTCCATAGAAGCATAACTGGGTCCGGTTAATCAAGCCACCGCTTAATAAATCAAAATGTCTTGTCACCGAGGTGGATTTATTAGGCGGATTCAAAGAAAATTGGAATTTAATTATGACTCGTTCTTAATGCAAAAAGGCGATACATATCCATCCACTGAAATGCGATTTAGGGCACCGTGACAAGTTCTGCATATCGTGATATATAAATTGAAATAGTTCTTGCCATTCTACTTTCCATTTATTCGGGAGAGAATGTCTCCGAAGTGGGACTTCCTGCAGTCTCACTCTATTTTCCTCTGCGCTGACCGAGAATCACTCATAAATTCCCGGCGATATCCGGTGGCGTTGGAATTGTGACGGCTCGATTGGACGCCTGCTAGTTGCGTGGTCTATCGGCACGAGGAGGGGATATTTTCACTGCAGCCCGGCAGTGGATCAATTGGAATCCGCGCCGCCACTGGGCGCAGAGCGCGGTGATAAGGCACCAGAGAAGGTTTTCTCTCTTTTCCTACATAGCAGGCTCAATGCTGACCTTCACGCAACAGACAGCAAGTGTGCAATGAAGTTTACGCAAAAGTTATGTTGCAGATGAAGCATGATTCAATATGAAGTTAAATTAAATAAAATTCACAAAATTCAACAGAATGAGTAGATGCTTGCTATTTCTCAGAGAGAAGCACTTTTGTTGGCTTTACCTCAAAAAAAAAAACTCCGGTTAATGGGTCACATGTGTAGTGTCATATGGGGTTTTGGGTCACTGCCCCAGCGGTATTTAATGATAATTCTATCGCCGATAAAAGAAAAAAGACCACCGCCGCGCCGGTCACATTTGACATTATAAGCCCATCCAGCCCACAGATACCTAAGTCCATCGTCGGCCACATATGCGCTCACATCACCAAATTGCAGTGTTGTGTTGGCATTCGGCGACCTAATCAGGGCTGGCGGTCCCCACGGATGCCCTGCTGGAGCCCGCAGGTGATTAGCCGGGCGCCGTTTGTTGTTGTTTATCTGCGCTCCTATACGTCACTGAGACAGGTCGGCCGCCTCGGAGAGTTTCAACTTTAGGAAAGTTTGCTCAGTGGTCTACGAAGTGCGCCGCTCCACTGGTATTTTTGGTAGATGCTCTAGCGTTACAACAGCAGTTAAATGTGGCTAATGTGTGTGCCAGGCCCACAACGTTGTCGCGAAAGGAAATAACTTATTGGAAGCAGGGTGAGAGCCCACTCATCTCATCCTGTCCCGTAGCTCAGTTGACAGAGCGTTAGACTCCCGGTAGTGAGAGCCCGGGTTCGAATCGCCCCGGCCCTCGATATTTGAGACCCCTGACGGGGATGGTTTGCGGTTGGTGGGAGCAGCTATACAGCCTGTTGAAGTCAGTTGAGTGGGACAGGCCGTGTCCGGCTTTGAAGGGCACGTTAAACTTTGGCATCTAATTTGGCTCCCGTTACTCGGAATTGCGCGATCGGACGGTAGGGGTCGGGGTCTACGCAACAAGCTCTGCTTTGCGTAGGCTCCGGCTCTGTCAATTCGTCCATTCAAACATTCGAGCTATCAGCAAACTTAACCCGCGCGGGGCTGGGGGGTAAATTTTACCCCCCATTGCGAATTTTTGCGATATCTCAAAAACGGCGGCGCGCAGCGCCGCCAAACTTTCAGTACCTTTTCTTACATCAATTTGACACGTTCCCTGAAAATTTGAGCGAAATCCGTCGGAAAAATGTTGAGAAATTGACGTTTTAGTGACGTCATGTTCGTCATTTTCGCCTCAAAAAAGGCAAAAGTTCAAACGCCGCTAACATCTTCATTTTTAAAGAAATCAAGACGTAACAAAAAAGGTTATACGTAATTTTACTTTGTCTATCAAATGGCTATCTCGGTTTTTTGAAAATTTTGGATTTTGGCCTATTTTTTTTTCAAAAAACTGACTTTTTGGGGAAAATCATTATAAAATCCAAAATTTTGAGTCTATCGAAAAAACCGGAATATATGTCAGAGAAGTGGTCTATTTGCACCTACATACCAAATTTTAGAAGAATCGGTTCAAAAATGTGGGAGTTATTCAAAATTTTATGACGTCACGACACACAAAATTTTTGAAAAATAACTTTTTTTGGAAGTTCTAGACCTCGTACGGAAACAAAAATAGCACCATTCAATTCGCCGTGAAAAACTGCATCAGATAAACACCTTTTTAAGCCTTAACAACCAACTTCAAAATTTGACCTCACTTGACCTGACCTTGAACTGACCTCGACCTGAAATTCATCCAGAGGTGGTCCATATCACTTATTGAGTGTGCCTATTGAATTCTATGAGTAAAATGACCCATAAAACATGTGTCGCACATGCCCTTTTCTATATTTTGTTTTTTGGTGACCTGACCTGACCTGACCTGACCTTGACCTTGACCTCTGAATGATATTGTATGCAACGAATATTGTCTTGGTAGCCTAAGAACACGTTTTGGGCGATCAGTCTCAGTCCATGACTCCATTCTTCGGCAACTACGGTGCAAGGCCGATACTGTAGAAACTTGCAATTTGTACCCTTGACCCGACCTTGACCTTGACCTCAAACTTTAAATTAAGTACATGTTTTTAGTAGTTCGTGATGAGAGCTTTCGATTGGCGTTTGAATTTTCCAAATCGGACCGTTAGTTCGGGAGATAACAGGGGGAGGGCAAAATTTACCCCCCCCCCCAGCCCCGCGCGTTCGGCTGGAGACCCCAGCCCCGCGCGGGTTAATAAAAAAGAAAAATCCTCCCATCTTGTGCCTCACTCATCATGTGGAAAGGAGATCAGTCGACTAATTCAGAAAACTCACTAAAAACCTAAACGGAAGTTTCCGGTGTAAAAGTTGGGCATCTTGTACCGGGTTTAGTTGTTCCGGTAGAAGGTAATGTGTTTGTCTTCGTTTTGTTTCAGTGGGAAAAGTCGACGACATGGAGCCAGTGAGGATGGAAATGAAAAACATGTCCGAAGAGTTTGTCAAGAAGATGACCAGCAGAGGACGTCGACCTCCATAACGTGGCTAGAACATGAGTGCGATTCGGGATGAGCAGTGAAGTTTTGTTTGATATACCTACGTCCTTTGGTTGTTCATTATACAAAATCAAATTTTGAGCGAGTGTTTAGTAGAGGATGACTTTGAAGAGTCTAAATAACTCGTTAGAAACCTTCTGGCTGAGGTAGGTATAGTCTGGGACATTAGCGTCGCCACGGGGGGGGCAAGCGGGGCAGCTTGCCCCCCCAACCTCGGACCGGGCACCCCCTGAGATCGATACAGATCCGATGAGATTTTGGAGTCGGGAAAAAATGGGGGTACCTTTCTGAGAATGCCTGTGAGGTCAGACTCTGTTGGAGCGTGCAGTTCAAACCTAAGTCAGAGTCGCAGTCGCCAAAATCTTCAAGACTCCGACTCCAGACTCGGAAATGTCAATGCTGTGATTCATTCCATGTTCCTAGTTGGTTCTTTATTACATTTTGTAGCTGATTTTCATAAGTTTTGGAGTGCTGACACATAATTTTCGTTCAAAGCGTGACACGAAATTTTCGGGGCCTTTCTCAACTCTTGTCAAATGTCTGCGACAGGCACAAGTACCGTTCAAGTGCCGCAGGGCTCATGAGCTTGCTTTTCACACAGGCTCCTAAGGGGCTCCACTGAGCTCTATCTAAGAAGCTTTCGGAGGGCCCAAACCGGCCTCTGAGAGTCCCACTGGTGTCTGTGTTCTCTGAGGGCCCATACAGGGATCTTTGAGGACCTTATACATACGTAGACTTCTGAAGGGCCACACGAATCTTTGAGGATGCCTTCGAAAATTTCTGAAAACCTCAACTGGCCTCTGATAGTTCAGCCGAACTTTTGAGGCGACAGACTTTACTAACCCCAACCCGGCATCTGAGGGGTCACAACTCACGTGTCCCTCTGAGGGCCGCAACACATGTTTCTTATGTCCCTACCTACGTAGGGTCCTTAAAGGGACCCTCCCACCTTCAAAAAAGTTAATGAATTGGCATGAAAGTGATGTCCCTTGGTTCAGAAAGAGCGAAAACGAATATCTACCAAATTTCACCGAAAAATATTCACTGGTTTTCAAGATATTAGGCTTTTACTTTTGTTTACTTTTTGGGATCTCCCCTGTTACTAGCGACTTTATTTGGAAGCAATAATTTGGCAGCCTTAAAGTGCGGCAGACGTTGCGCGCAAAGCAGCGTATACCCCACGTGTTAACGATGGTTTTAGTCTAAGATTTAAAAATCGCTAGATCTCCGCTGACGTCACAAATTCTAAGGGGGCATTCCAATGCATTAGCCCCTTAGAATCCGAAAACTGCAAGTTTGAAATTCCATATCTTCGAATTAAAGCATTTTTCGATGTTGTGAGTGCCCAAACCGGTAGTTGCAGGCCATGGCCACCAATTTGGCTATCTCAACTCAAAACTAATGTTAAGGTGGGAGTGTCCCTTTAAGGATTCGACACAGACCCCGACGGTTCACACTGTTATTCGAGGGATCCAGGCTCACCCTGGGCCTAGTCTCTTAGCGCCCGCCGCCCACACTGGCTTCTGAAAGCTCATGTGCCCTAAAGGGCTTTCCGGGCCCACCTTAGGCTCGGAAAGCCCTAAAGCAGTAAGCACCACATACACGTAAATATTTGGGGTGACCCACGCCGATCTCCGGGATCCTAAGCAGGCTTCTGAGAGTCCACACTGACCCTGAGTGGCCTGAAATGGCCTGGAAGTCGCAAGCCTATCTCTAAGGGATGCCTTGCAGCTATGCCGTGCGTAACTTTTGGTTCCGGTAAATTTTTTTGGTCGCGTTTGCAGCGCTTTCCTTCACTCGAAAAACCAGAAACTTTTTGTTCACACTCGAGTGAACAAAACACTTATTCTCACTGCAGCAAGGATGAATGATGTCAGTTGACCGGTCACTCCCGGCGCGGACGGACGCGGCGGGCAGCGCTCCGCTCTGACGCACGCGCCCGAGCGCCGACAGCCACAGTGCAGTGACGGTAACTGGTGTTTATTGTGTGTGAGGCGAGGGCCACGATGGCCGATCCGAGTCGCGACTCTGGTGGTGTCGAAGCTGCAGCTGCCAGGTCGCTCCGGAGAGGATCGTCCGTCAGTGAGTTGGTCCGGAGCTACGACGACGGAGCGGGGAAGAGAGACCGCTCCGAGTCTGGTGACTCTGTCACCGCGCCGATGGGTAAGCGCAGGCCGCTCGACCCCTCGCCTCGCAAGGGAGAGGTGAAGGAACTCATCGAGGATGCAGTGGAAGGAATCGAGAGTCGCCTGTCCCTGTTCATTTCCAAAGAACTACACGAATTCAAAGCCAGTCTCCAGACAAAATTTGATGCTCTCCACGCGCGAATCAAGGACCTAGAAGAGCACGTGAACGAAAAGGATCTGGAGATAGAGAGAATGTCTACGGAACTGAAAGAAACGCGTGAAGAAATGAAGAAGCTTAGCGAGAGGAGTGAGAACGCTGAAATGAACTCGCGAATCCCGTGCCTGATTTTGTCCGGCCGAGCAATGGCGCCCCACCGCAACCCGAGCCTGGCTGCGCCGCTGCGGCCGGCCGGCGGGCGGGCGCCCGGGGGCACGGACTCCGCCGGCCCCAGCGAGGAGCGCGCGGCCGGCGGTGCTGCGCTGGGCGGTGGCGGCGGCGGTGGTGCCGGGGGTGTCGGTGGTGCAAGGTCTGGGGAGGGAACGAGTGAGGAGGATGTCAACCAGCTGGTCATCAGAGTTCTGCAAAGCCGGTTCCCGGGCTTGGGCATCTCTGTAAGCGACATCGACAGGGCTCACCGCCTCCCAGGACCAAATCATCGTGTAATCGTCCGATTCGTCCACTCCGGTTCCGGATCGATAAGGGAGCGACTCATGACGAGAAGGATGGAGCTGCGAGGGAGCAACGACCTGTACATCAACGAAAGTCTAACCGCCCTGAAGAGCCAGATTCAGCGGTCTCTGCTGGAGGCTAAGAAAGCGAAAAAAATCTACACTGTTTTTACCAGGTGGGGACACGTGTACTACAAATCAGAAAAATTTGGAACAAGTACTCGGGTGGAATCACTTGCTAAGGCTCGTCAGCTAGGGTTCAGCGTCAAAGAATAAGCGTACTCATATATAGGTGTCAAGGTTGCTCGTTCACGCTTGACGCACTTACACAGCCTTGCGAAGTTCGCTTACCAGCACGTGTTCACTTTCTGCTAGTCGCTTACTTACTCGACGATAAAGGATCGTTGTTGACTTTGATGTTTGATGTGTGTGCATGTCTACTCGTCAATTGTGTTCTCGTTCTCGTTCTGCGTTGTCCCATGTCTGCCTTGCAGACGACGATCTCGGCTGGTGCATCGGCTGTGAGTGTCTGCGGCGGCGGCGGCGGCGGCGGCGGGGTCGGACTCTTCTACACGTGCAATGGGAGCCGAGGAGCTCGATGTGTGATCGGCGCCGCCTCTGGTGTGCTTCGGCCGCGGTCTCCGTCGGTGCCGGCGCCCGTCGCTGGCGGCGCCTGTGGCGGTCTGTGCCGGTCGTGCACGTTGCGGCGGCCGTCGGTCCCGCGATCCACCCGCTGGTGTGGGTGGCCATGCTGCCGCGCCCCGCGTCTCCGGATGCCAACTGGCGCCCGCCGAGGGGGCCGTTCTGTCGCGAATCGTCCAGTCCCGGCCCGAGTTGCAGATGCAGTGTGGCACCCTTTTCGTGAGTATGGTCACTGGACGGATCGGCCGTACCGTAACGCACCAGGAGAAAGCTATGTCCAATGTAGTACTATATTGTCTCAGCAACACATACAACAAAGTAGTGCAAAAAGGAAAATGAAGTTTTGGTTTGGAGCAAAATTCAGCACCGCGTCTAAGGTCGAGAGACAAACACTAACATTTTATGAGAAACATTAAAATTGCATCAGTAAATGTCCGGGGTCTGGGAGGACAAGAGAAACGCAGAGATGTTATGCATTACCTGAGAACTATGAACTTTGACATTATCTTCCTTCAGGATACTCACCTCACAGAAAATAAAGTTCAGTTTCTAAACTCGCTGTGGCGGGGTAAGACATACCATTCTTGCTTCACAAACAACAGTAGAGGAACCTCAATTTTGATCGACAAAGGTCTTCAACATACCATGCTCTTTGAATTCGTTTGCAGGAGAGGTAATTATGTTATTATTGGATGTAAAATAGGGTCAGACACATATGTGTTTGGGTGCATATACGGTCCAAACAAAGACGAGCCAGAATTTTATCGGGAAATAGGCGAAAAACTGGAAAGTGTCGAATGCGATCACATCATTTTGGGTGGAGACTTAAATTTTGTGATGAATTATCAAAAAGACTGTCATGGATATGTTCGAGAAAATAATATTAATGCCAGAAATGCATTCACCACGATGTGTAATCAGCATAGAATCATTGATATCTGGAGATTTTATAACCCAGATAAGCATGAATTCACGTGGAAGGGACCCAACAAGGTAGCTAGATTAGACATGTTCTTTATAAGTGAACATTTATGTAGCTTGTGCATCAACCAAAACATTTTGCCGGGATATAGGACAGACCACAATATTATTACAATAGAAATCAAAAGCAGCGATGCTTCCCGAGGCCCAGGGCTATGGAAATTCAATGAGTCCCTATTGAGCAATGAAGATTACTTAGTAGGGGTGCGGAAATGTATTGAGTCCACTGTCAAACAATATGCGTTACCGATATATTCGAATGAGTTTCTAACTGATGAGTACAACTACAAAGATATTAAGTTTCAAATAAACGAGGACCTATTTTACGAAACGCTACTCATGATGATACGCGGGGAAACTGTTAAATTTGCTAAACAAAAAGCTAAGCGGGATAAAGAAAAAGAAAGAGAACTGTTAATGAAAATCGAAAGAGCTCAAACAGAATATTTTGAAGCAAAAACTGAAAGTAGTGCGGCCGTCCTGGAACAGTATAAAGAACAATTGGAAAACATGAGAAGGCCTCTGATAAACGGTCTGATCGTGCGCTCGAGGACAAGGTGGCACGAGGAGGGTGAGCGCTCGTCAAAGTACTTTCTCGGCTTGGAGAAAAGAAATGCCTTGAGAAAATCAGTTGGAATCATTAAAACTGGAGAGCAAATTTTA